GGGATGGGCATGCATTGTGGTTCTCTAGTCTATTGATCCTGACATGCAGGTCACCCTGGGTATAGAATTAGGCTGATGTTGCTGTTTCAGATCAGATAAAGGAACTGGTTCATTAATCAGGCTGTCTGCTGTGCCTGGCCTCTTTCCTGCCTTGTTTAGTGGGAGGAGGTATGGAGAAAGAGGTATCAAAAATAGTATACAGCTTTTCCTGGCTGAGCTAAGTGTGATGGGATGTGGCAAACAGAGTGAAGATTGAGCATCCAGATGAGGAATGCACGCCACCGTGCATGTGCAATTACAATTACAATAAGGAGTGCTTGTCAGCTGTCTTGCTGACCTTCTGGCCTGAAAGACAATGCTTTGTTCCTTCTTAATCCTAAAAAGAAGCTGTTTGGACCTAATTTACTTGTTCCTGAGCCTAAATGTAATGCAGTGAAGAGAGCTTTAATGTAGTAAGGCCTCCTTGGAGGTATTGGCAGGCTAAACAAGCTGTCACAAAGGGCTAGTCAGTCAGTCACGGTCTGCCTGAGCCTAGATGCCCTGCCAGGCAGGGGTGGTTAAGGCTTCTATAGCCAAGAGTGTACAAGGGGACAATGTGCCTACCATCCTATATGGCCACCTTCAACTCCTCACCCCAAATGATTTGGCACCCAGCTAAGTTGTTTGAGGACATCGTCCCATACATATGAATCTCAGATTCATGCCTTTGGAGTCATAGTAAGATTCCAGTCTTTAAAGGAGCAGGAATGGTTTTTAAATAGCTGAATAAAAATGTGAGTAAAAATGCTGTATATAAGGAGCTTCATGTTCTCTTTCCAACACAAAACATGCTGTTCCTTTCAGTAATGCAAGTCACTCCTCTTCAGGACTCTGGGTAAACTCCTTACTGACTTTAGTATGAGCAAGAACCAGCCCACTGCTGAGTTGGATATCAGAGATGAGGGACTATTCTTTTGGTTTCCATGTTCTCCCATCTCTTTTCTTCTTTTAACTACTTAAAATATGGGCCCACAGAAGAAAAATCTTTGCCGGGGAAAGGACAGAAGTAGATGGAGAGTTTTCTTCAAGGATGTGGATGAGGGAGGGGGAGAAAGTCAGAAATATTAGATGTCTGCAGTCATTTACTCTACCACATGTTAGTTGTTTTACCTTATATTGTGGATTCATCTGTTACAAGAGTATAGAATCAATACTTTTTTTTAGAGAGATGTGTTGAAAGATGAGCAGAAGTTTGGTCTGACTCTTCTCCAAAATGAGAGAGAGAGAGGAAACTTTTAGTGGTACGTGTTTCTGAAGGGCCAAGAAAAGACATAAAACTCCTGGTGGCAGCTCAGAAAAGAGTTGAGTTTAAGGAAAATAAAGATGGGTGCATCTTCTTGATGCCAGTGGACTCTGGAGTGTTCTTTTGAGGAGAATTTCTATGAAGGAGATTTTATAGTCCAGCTAGGTAACGGTACTTCTATGTCCAAAGTAACTGGTGTAGAGGAAGAGGCATTTGCAGAAAAACTCCTGAATGGCCCTTGGGTTACTTGCAGCAGTTTGACAGTCACTAGTAAATATTTATGCTGTAGTAATAACAGTAGGGCCTATTATGCTAGGGGCTGTACAAATACATAGAACAATGGCCTATTATATTAAGATGTACCTCTTCCAAATGAATTGCCATTTAGTCAATACCTATCATGTCTGTGCACTGTGCCTACATAGGAACTGATTCTGCCATCTCAAAGCTACCACTAAATGATTAAATTGGTGGTGTATGTAAGGAAGAGAGGTTGGTTTATTTGTTGAGGTAGTTTGAGGATAGGGTTGCCAACCCTCCAGGATTGCCTGCAGTCTCCAGGAATTAGATATAAATCCCCAGGAGACTGCTGAGAATCACCCAGGAGATAAATGACAGGGAATTTGTTAAAATAAATATTAAATGTTGAAGCCGATTTGTGCAGTAGTCCAGTGGGTTTTTTAAATGTAATAGTAATGTGTATTTGCCTTCCTGATGCAAAGTCTATACACTATAATCCATAACTGATATATACAAGCATGCAGGCACATTGGCGCTCTGGAAACCTCCCAGAATAGATTCAAACAGAATTGGCAACCCTATCTGAGGGGTAGAGAGGGTAGCTGTAACAAAAGGCAGCCTTTAGGTATGAAGGTGCATGGAGTGTGTGTTAAACCTCCAGTCAGATCCATCAGAAAAACACTGACAGAGATGCTACCATATGGAATTACCCTGTGGCCACAGGCAGTGTTTCCTAAAGCACTATGGGACATGACTACTGGAGCAAGAGAGGAACATAGGGTTAACCAGGTGGGCACACATGGGACCCCTCCCTTGTTATTCAGAACATTAGTCCTCATTTAAAAGGGGTTTCTGGCCATCATAACTGTGAAGCATGCTCTCAAAATGTGAAGTGGATGTTACAAGTGCAATGATGCCTACTTGAGACTGTAGACAGCTTGAGGGAAATGCTGGGAGGTAGTCCTGCCCTGTTAACTTTGGTGGGTGATATTTCATAGACATTTGGGCTGGAAGAGACCCCGGAGGATCATCAAGTCCAGCCCCCTGCCCCAGGGGCAGGAAGTCAGCAGGGAACATAAGATCCCAGCAAGATAAGCATCCAAATGTGTCTTGAAGGTGTTCAAAGTGGGTGCTTGAACCACCTCTGGTGGCAGTCTATTCCAAAACTTGGGGGCTCAGACAGTGAAGAAGTTCTTTCTCATGTCCAGCCTGTATCGGTCGCAGCAGAGTTTGTGACTATTTGATCTTGTCATCCCTTAGGGGGCTCTGGTGAACAGACATTCCCCCAGATCCTGATGAGCACCCCTGATAAATTTGCAGGTGGCCACCAGATCACTTCTGGGCCTGCGCTTTTCCAGGCTGAATAGCCCCATTGCTCTCAGCCTCTCATCATAAGGTCTGTT